GTCGGTTTGAGGTGGCCGCCGACGAAAGGACGATCTTCTTGACGTTCTCCAAAGGGTACCCCATAAGTGAGGATGAAGTTAGAGAATATTTCACTAGGTAAATTAACCAAATAACCAATTTATTTTTCTCCAAACAATCACATATGTTAGTAATCTTGTAGGAGACAATCTTTATTCACAGGTTGATCGATTTTATGTTGTTTTAGAGTATGATTCTTGTGTTTAAAACATCTATGTGTCAATTGAAAAAAGTATGATTGTATCTATTTAGATTTATTGTTTTATATTGTTAATTATTTTCAAATTTACTTGACGGAGTAATTTATAAGATAAATGATTATTCTCTTGCTTTATTATATATTTAGGATGTTTGGTGATTTCATAGAGGACTTGATAATGCAAGAGGTATGTGAAGATGAGCAGGTTCTCTATGCAAGGATGGTGGCAAGATCGACGGCAGTGATCGATGGAATCGTAGGAGGGAACAAGGCTAAGTACGTGATAAACGGGAAGCACGTGTGGGCCAGAAAGTACGTCAAGAAGCACCACCATCAGGCGAGGTGGCCGCCAGCCAGAGGTGGCGACGACTGCCCGTCTTCTTCTTCTTCTCCATCTTCATCCACCGTGCTCGACGGATAATTTTTAATTATTAGCTTAATTATATCAGAACAAAAAATTTATAAGTGTTTATGGTTTTAGAAAAAATTCTAGTGCTACTTATAGAGGAGATAATACTACAACTACATGCATGATAAAACCTAGTAGTGTTGAGGTGTTTAACATTGTGTGTGTGTTTTGATGTGTTGTTAAACTGTGGAGTTTTGATTGTTATGCTTAGCATAGTTCATAAATGTAGTATATATAGTTTGAAAGGGCTGATTTATATACCTTTTTTTTTAATTATTATTTATCTTCTTAAATAAATGGAATTTAGTTTGGATATAGCTAGCTTTTCTATGTTCAAGTGATTTCGCTTTGAATAATAATAATAATAATAATAATAATAATAATAATAATAATAATAATAATAATAATAATAATAATAATAATAATAATAATAATAATAATAAAATGTCTTATCCAAAAATAGAAATTAAAATTGGAAAATATTGTTTTAGGGCATCTACAATGTATCGATCTAGTTTTGCGCATGTAAATAACATGGATAAAATTATTTAAAATTGATAAAATATTGTTTTTGAAATTTGACATGAAAATATTGTTTTAGTACATCAGTATATTCAAGTAACCATGTTTAAGTGATTCGGTTTGAATTCAATTCTATAACAAAAAATTAAATAATAAGAAAATAAGAAGTAAAATTTTCTTCTCCAAAAGTAGAAATAAAAATTGGAAAATATTATATTTAGAACTAAAAAATTTGATGTTTTTAAGATTGTTAATATATATAATCTAAAAATGTAGGGGTTATGATTGGAATTTATGGAAAAAGAATAAAATAATAAAAAAATAATTAATAGTGTTTATAAAAGTGGATGAATACTATTTTTATTTAAAATATATAATATTAATTTATTTAATTTTGTAGTTGTATCAACGTGAGATATAATTAATTTTGTGATTAATTTAAAAGTATTTTTATTTAATTTTACATAATTTTTATTTGGTCAAAATAGCTCTCATATTTTTATTTAGACTGTGTGTGATTATGTAAATTTTTTGGATTCAATAATGGATCACCAAAATAGCTCTCATACTCAGATCCCTACAATTTATATCTGAATTGATATTTTCTCTTCTGAAGAAAGAAAAAAAGAGAACAAAAAAGATATTTTTTTTATAAGATTACCAAAACTTTAATACAAGAATATCAAATTCCAATTTCAGCAATTTACATATTATATGTAATTTTCTCTTTCAGGCAAAAGCATCGCCAATCTTAACTATTGAGCACGAATTAACTAATTTAATTATGATAATCTTAATTAGAAAATAGTCTTAGTTAGCAAAATTTTATAAATACAGTATGCTTTTCATAAAAAAAAAAAAATCATCTTAATATTTTCATAATCTTAGATAAATTATCCGCAAAATTGCCTCTTATATCATAACCTTCAATTTTTTGCATTTATAGACGAAGCTTTATAATATAATTTGTAAAGTAAATAATTTAATATATAGGCGTGTGTATATTAGATAATTTCAAGTGATTCTACACTTTTTACCCAATTATTCAAAAGCTAAAGAGCATAAAATTTCTGCAAATCAACATCAAAATGAGCTTTCATTCTTGCAACATCCATGCAGCTTTATTATACGAAACAAATCCAAACTATTTTTGACGAAATTATTGAGAAATTTGCTTTTCATCTGGAACATACAGAGAGGTGTCGGGTCATTCTCCCACAAAC